GATATTTAACGTGAGCAATGTTGACTTCGGGTGACTTGGTCGAGCTGGGCCCAGTCTGACCGCAGTGCAGTGCGACGGCGTAAAGCCGCTTGTTTCAAATGACTTCGAACTGAAACTTACCTTGCTTGCACACAAACAGCGGAAACTAATAGGCTAGATCGCCGAACACATCTGCAGGCGGAGTGGAAAAGATGCCGTCGAAGCATTCGCGACACGCCTCAGCTGACTTCTTACGTCGCCTTCACTTTGTCGCGCTGATCGCCCCCTTGATTGTTTTAACTTGTATCTATTGTGATTGTAACAAATGTAACCATTGTAACTATTCTGATCAACAAAGTTGCCAAGGGAGTATCTCCCGGGGGACCGAATATACCCGGGGCGAAGCCCGCGTCGAGAGGCCGTCCATGGCCAGGCGGTCTGACGTAGCGGGAGGCTACGCCGTCCCAGCTCTTCGGCGGTCGACAAGACCCAATAAACTTGTTGTCACAGTGAGGCAACACGACGGCAACAGCAACACAAAAGGTTGTCCAACAGTCGGGCAACTTGTTGCTCGCTCCCCATGTTGTCCGACAAACCTGTCACATCGCGGCAACAGCACGACAACATGGACGACAACTAAAATGGTGCCTCGGTATGACAGCTTTCGGCAAACAAAAACAGCAGCAACTTGTGTTGGACAACGTGTGTTTCCCTGATCGCTGGCTGAGCGAATTTCGGGCCGGCAACACGACAACATAGATAGCTTCGATGGTAGGGCAAGTCCCCTATCAATAAAATCTTGCTCAAAGAAAGGCTTGGAAAACGCTATTTAACAATAATTAGGGCAGGCGTGCAGATAAAATATTTTAGATTAATGTTTTGCTGCGTAGTTACGGAAAGCGATTTCCGAAATGGTCACAGCTACGGTCGTGAACGTTCAGACTGGTTTTGAAATTAGAACTCCGAGAGACCAGCTCACATTAGTGATAGCGAAATAAAAAGGCATGCCTGCTCACCCGCTATTAAAGTATTATAAAAATAATCCACAAAGCGAAAGATTAAAAATTCGAAGCATAAAACGACCACTCTGATCATGATTGTTGATGCTTGGAACTTGGAAACAGCCGCTACCAGACACCTGATTTGTTTTTAAAATACCCAGGACGTTTTGGGTGAATGAAGCGATCACATAACAGGCGGTAGGCAAGAAGACAGCGTTGAAAAATATTTATTTCACCGATTGTTATGAAGGCCGATGGTGTCGGTGTAGCAGTTTTGAAGCACTGTCCGTTCAGCTCAACACCACGTTACAAAAGACGCTTTGGGGTAATGCCGGTGCTAACGCAATTTTACAGTAGAAATAGGAATTGCATGAAAGAACCGGGCAGAAACACTTCATACGGTGGCGTAAATCCCGAACATATATCAGCGATGTCACTTTCCTCGGTTAGGGCTATCTACTTTGTCAGCAAATGAAGAACATTTCGATAAAATAAAGAGCGGAAAATGCTCCCCGTGTCAAGTTTTCTAATCCCAGTCCCCGGTTGGTGTCGTACCGTGGTAATTCCCGGCCCTTCGAACGCACTAGCACTTTGTAGAGTCACATATCCAACCATTCCGCGCCGCACACGAACGAAGGTAAACAATGAAGATGGCGGAGTTTTCCCCGTGTTGTTCTCGCCGTCAGCGCAGTGTGACAGGATTGCCGGAGAACAAATCGGGCAACACGGTTGCCGGGCGGCAGCAACATGTTGCCCGACTGTTGCTGTTGCCGCGATGTGACAGGGTCGCCGGCTCGGATAGAGTCGTCCAACTGTTGCCTCAGTGTGACCTTAAGGGGGAAGGAATGCTGGATCTCAGACAGCGTCTTGTTTCCGCGTGCATGGGAGCGCACTAACTGCACTAACGTTGACGACAAAGAAGAAAATCGTGAGCGGACACGCGAGCGAGATCGAACTCAATGGTGTCAGCCACGGTTTCAGCGATCTGCCGATGTCCCTTTGGTACAATAAACTTACCTTGTTGTAAATAGTTGTACATCGATCAAAGAGCTTCACCAAAGTCTCGAGTAATGTCTAGCATAATATAACTCTACAGGCAAAACAGAGCCTCTATATATTAAATATTACAATTTTGCTCGATTAAACTTGCGTGGTTCATGTACAGTTTACGAAATAAATTGTCAGTGGGTCGCGTTGCCTGCAAAATTAATTATGGTATTTTGTTTTTCGTTTATTCTTTGCGTGGCGCCATCTATGTGGAGCGCCACGAATTTTCTTGAAGCGGGGACACAATCAGGTCGTCCAATCGGCTCACGTCTCCTCACCTGCCTATCTTACAGCCTGGTCGAGATACTACAATGCTACCGTATCCATGCTTTATATGCCGCCTGTCAAACTAATCATTGGACGGCAGTTTGATACTTTAGACCCATGTTCCGGATAAAAAAAACAGGACGTGGGATGGCCAAAAAAACATGCTTTTCGTGCAAGGCTCGTCAAATTATGAGGCGCTGGAGAAATGCAGCCTTCTGCGTTAAGTCCTTATTTCGAACTCTTTTTGTTCGCCTTCCGCCCATTGAAAAGCATGCGGGAAGGGCCTTAGAACGCACCTGGTATCGCTGCGCCGCAGCGTTCTTCCGCATCAAAAAGTTCGTCTGCTTTCCTCGCCGTCACCATGGCAACGAACGCCGAATGAATAGAAGCACGCACGGTACCGCCGCGTGAAGCCAGCAACAGCTGACGCCATTTTACGAACGCCGTCTGCTAGCCAAAGCCGAACGCGGTGTGTCAGATCAACCGCCTCCGCCGGTGCGCCGCTAGCAAAGACGACGAAGCTGAGACACGCCGACGGCGATCGAGCAAGCAACAACACCGCGGGACGACTGCAACGGCGGCATTTATTCGGATCAAAGGCCGGCTTCGCCGGTGCGCCGCTAGCAAAGACGATGAAGCTGAGCCACGCCGACGACGAATGGGCGAGCAACAGCACCGCGGGACGACTGCAACTCCGGCATTTATTTTGATCACAGGCGCGAAATAAGCAAGAACAATTTTTATTTGAATCATAACACCCTATATCCAAGTTGGGGACCACATACCTTTGCTGGGTCTTTCCTGTGAACTTTTTACAGAGACACGGGGTGCCGCATTAAAAACACAGCTCCGTTTGGAAAATATGGGGGCCCTGAAAAGGACCGTTTAGACCACTGCCAGAACCTATAACTGACGTAACGAGCACTTGACGAGCGGTTGGCGCATAAGTCGTCTTTATGCATGCAGGCGGGTGACGGGCTCAGCGCAGCGGATCCCTCGAAGTCACCGGGGCCGTCAGAATCCTCGCCCTGTCTGCGTCGGGGCTCTAGATTTTGGCGGCCGCGGCGACAAACGACTGGAATCTATAAGTGTTTCCGCGCGCCTTGTCTCTCCTCCAAAACATGAACTTTGCAAGGTGACCAGTGAAATGGTGGCTCTCGCGCCGTCCAGATGGAAGAGAGTTTTTGACGTGGGCCCAGGTGCAATCCACCGTATTGGTGTGCGCACCAGTGTTCGCGTCGACAAAGTTAAGCTTATGGTTGACGGTGAGGTGCGTGACGCGAGCGTCATCTGCAAGCTTGCGATAGCCAGCCCAACAATCAGTGATTATTCTTGTTTCAGGGCGGACCCACTCGGCTGTTAGCCCTTGCAGGGTTTTAGCGTCACGGGTCTCCACGGGAACAAGAAAGCAGCACCCGCTGCAACGCGCCACACCGCCGAAAACCCACTGGCCAGGCCTTAAATACCCGCGATGGTACTTGTGCCGACCGAACATACTCTCGTCTGGTTCTACAGTCACGCCGTCGCCACCAATCATGTCTGAATGCTTAAAGACGGCATTTACCACAACCTCCCGACAAAGGCTCGCCCAATCAGTTAGTGTCTTACTTGCGATATCAGCCTCCCGCTGAATGACGGCGCACGGTAGGTTCTGGCATCCGGAGGATGATTTTCATGAGTTGGAGAAGCGTCAGGTGCGTGCGATCCTTCAAAAAGGGAACCGCTCCGTATCGAGACTTCGCCCCGGCACTAAACTTTGGCCGACTTCCTCTTGGGCACCTCACGAATCATCCACACACCGCACCCCCCCCCCCCCCCCCCCCCCCCGTGTAGCCGTCCGCAGATCTAGCGCGGACTTGCAGCTTGTCATCGCAGCTTCGCACTCTGGACACGCACGAAAACCCAGGAGCCAGGAGCAGGCCAACGCGCTAAAGCAAATTAATTGCTTCAAGAGGGTCTTTCATGGCGCCAAGAAGACGGCACAAGTTGAACGCCATGGCACTGCGATGCTCGCCTCTGGAAGAACAAAGCGCCGAGGGGGAACTGCGCGCTTCTTTGCATTTATTATATTTATTTCATCCGCCTTTTTATACCTCGTGACACAATTCTAACAAACTCATTGGTTGATCCGTCGGACTACACCATCGCGTGACAAAAAGAAAACAACAAAAAAACAAACGCCAAACGTATGTCGACGGACGGCATCGTCACAGAGAAGGGAGCAGTCGAACCAACACCACCTAGACTAGCTCAAGGCCTCTCCACGTCTTCGTGACGTCATCACACTACGACCAGCCTGGAAGTTCGGCTTCTTTCGGCGTTGAGCTCTCCCGCAGCGGCGTCCCTAGATGCGCGCTCGGCTGTTCCGTGCATCGGGAAAACTATTCATCCTGCTGTTGATCTTTTGTGCTCTGTAAATTAGGAAACCCATTCGGCGATTTATTTTGAATATTAGAGCTGTAGTTCAATGGGTGTACATGCAGGTGCTTACTAGTATAGCACTAAGAGTCAAATTCTTTAATGACAAACATATATCAAGGTACTGCACAGTTTTCAATTTTGGCGGGCCAAATATTTCGCGATTTAGGTCTAATGGATATATGTAGAGTTCATAAAATAAGTGGACGTTTGTACACTCAATAAATTCCGACTTAAGAAATCTTCCCGTGTTCCTCCCGATATTTTAGTTTGCTAAACATGGGGTTAGGAAAATAATGAGGTTTACCATTTTCCTATAGCTTCAGTATTTCATACTATTTTTCACGACTTTCTACAATAATCTGGCTCTTAATTCAATAAAATCAAGTAGACTTATGATATTATAACCCTGGATCATAATTTGTGCAGCACAGAAGTTCAATGATTGAATGTTTATTTACACTAAAAATGGAATGTGTGGACTGAATGAAAATCAGTCACATGAAGTCATCACAAGTAAGGTCAGTCAAAATAGCGTCAGTGCTTCAGAGTCTTCATCTTTCGCTTTTGGGTTAATTTCTTGAGAACCAGCTGGTCATTCTTTGTCTTGCAATAGTTGTTCAGTACAATGTTCGTTGCTGCGCTCAAAATGTGACGCATCACCAGCTGTGGCGAATGACCACTATCACACACATCGAGATCATTGGAGTCATCCAATATATTATGCGTGAGTGTCAGCAGTGCCGCTTTCTGGTTTGGCAACCCGTGGAATTGTGTGGCATACTTCTCGCTCCTCAGCTTGTCAAGCACTATTTCTGTTGTGACCACAGCATTGACGACAGCTGGCTGGGGGAACTTGAGTCCACCTCGGTTCATGCTTCTGATGATGTCCGAGTTCTCAACTTGGATGTCACGTTCCAGCACTAAGTTTGCTCTGCAGGCAGTGCAGGAGAGCTTCTTGAGTGCAGCGTGAGCACAGTAGCCTGCCACGTAGGTGATCGCTGCGAGGTTTGGAGCCTTGTTAGTAATGTCCATGTCCGTCACTTCAATCCTGAAGTTATCCAGTACAGACCCATCCATCTCGACTGCAGATGCTGCCACCTCCATATCTGGGAGCTGGAGGACTTTCTGAAGGCGAAGCTTCCGTTCAGATTCAAATATCTGTCTTATAGAAACATGATATTGGGCACCAGCAAGCTGTCGGTACTTTCCAAACCTGTCTTCCAAACAGTCGGTCTGGAATTTTCCGAGTAGTACGTAGTCAAATCCCATCTCTTGAAGGCAGTAGCTTGTCAGCTTCACCAAGGTGGACGTCGTGAGTCGGAGGGCACTGTGAGTGTCCGGTGTGAGCCTGCCTGTGTCAAACTTCAGGGATTGCCACAGATCTAGCCATTCTATCACATTGGTGAGGTACTCGATTTGTGGGCCTGACAAAGACGTGACTGGAGACTGGAAGTCATCTCGAAGTCGTCGGCCCTTGTTGCACGTCTTAACATTTACGATGCTCCACCACCTTTCGACAATCTTCAAGAACTCTGCTGTTCCAGCGGCATATTCCAAGCCAAGTCGAAGCCCACAGGTCTCTAAGGCTGCGATTGTAGATGGACTGAAAACCTTCAGAGCCAGCTTGACATTTTGTCGCTCCATGTTGGATGGATGCAGCGCTTTCATCGATAGGGTTGGAGCGGACTTGATGAGCTGGTCCTGTTCCTTTGAGTGAAGCTCCCGAAGCGTCTTGAACGACGCTGTCCATGGTTTGGTGAAAGGACCCTTGATGGGAGGGAAGAACATGCAGGTTCCGATGTTTTTCTGATTAATCCAATTGTTCCTCACGCACTTTAGTATGTGAACAGGGTCGACAACAAAGAAAAGAGGACACTCCGGGTCTGAGGGATGTGGATAGACGCTGCAAAGTTCCGGTGGTGTTTTAAAAAGGGACATTGTTTTTCTGTTTATGGAGTTGTTGTCTGTGATGACAGCGACCACATGCAAGCCTACGTTCTCCAGCTCAGTAATGATGCTGCGAAGAACAGTGTGCAGCTGCTGCGCATTGATTTGATCAACTGGAAGAATATGGACAACATTTTTCTGGGATGAAAGCAGGCTTTGCATCATAAAGACGTGTGCAGTCTTTGCTGCATTTGGGCTATTACTGGCAGCACCAACAACTGATCCGCCTTTGTAGTCAAAATAGGGCTGCAAATGAATTTCATCCATCATGAGCACCACTGTCTTTTCGTGTTGCTTCATTGTAGTAGCCAGCTTCTTGGCATATGATAAAAGGGAAGTACTTTGCTGCTCGGCCGCTGGGCTAACTTCGTAGGAACCACAAACACGTCGTATAGTAGACTGGTGAGGAAGTTTCAAGTTTGCAGAACTCCTCAAGAACCTGTAAGCATGAGGAGAGATGGTAAAGAGAAGGCTTGAAAAAACTAGCAACTCTGAAGAGTACTGAGGTGTCTTGCTGAGAAGTAGAACCACCTGTTCTTTCAAGAAGCTCAAAGCGCTATGCCGCTCGTCATCTTTCAGATTAGAGTTTGTAACATCTTCAAGGAGTGAAAGCGCAAGTTTCAGTATGGCACTGACTCTGTTTTCGGTCTCGGATGCACGCATTTCCTCCAAAGACTCCACAGCATCCAGCAGACGGGACAAATCTCGCATGTCGTTTACTGTTCTTGGAATGGCGTCTATGCCATCAATCTTCGTGACCTGGACATCTTGGAAGAACACTTTCACGGAGAGGTCTTCGGAGATTGTAATTGACTGCCGAATTAAGGGGGCGTTGTCCACCTTAAGATTCAGGAACAGTAGGCAGTTCTGCCGAGAAATAACTGTCCAGAACTGGGACACCTTGAGACATGGAAGGCAATCCAGGAGAGCTTGAAATGTTTCGACCTTGTTTCTCTCTTCTTCTTCTTTATGCATCTCGAGAGAGAGGCTGATGGCTTCTCGCAGAGAAGTTGCGTCGAGGCGAATCCTCTTCTGCTCAGGTGTCTCTCGGGATGTGCTGGCAGTGGAACTTGACAGGTACGCCGGGCAGTTAGGAAATATGCGTGGCACGGCGTCAGGGCGGAGACGTGAAAGCTTCAGTTTGGCTTCGATCACTCTGCCAGTTTTTGAGTCCACATACCTCGTTGAATCGAGAATGTCTGAGGCTTGAAAGTGTTTTTCACATACCTGAAGATAAAAAAAAAAAAAATCATGCATTTTAAAAACTAGAAGGGGTCACAAGTTTGATATTACTGTTAAGGACCTCATTTTCGCTCGTTCGACATTTGAGGAATATTTTTCAGAATATAGTATTCGCGATTCGAAATTGGCTATGTAATCGTAACTATAATGTGAAATTTATTCGCGGGATAATTTTCTTGCGATGGCATGCTATCGAAAAAATTAAGAAAATTAAGTCGGTAAAAGTAAATAACCACAACGCGAAGGCACAAATGCAGCGCGAGTGAAGGGTCGAATGACTGGCATCACATCGCAGTTTTCTGCGCTACACTTCGACGTAAAAGTGTAGCAGAACTGGAAATCGTGAATACACACATTTCTAGAGAGTAGATATTTGATTCCAAGCAAGCAACATGAAGAGCGAGAATATGGACCCACAATAACTGACATCCGACAAGAAAACTTACGAATGCTGCTCTTACCACTGAGCGCTTTCCGGGCGTGAAGTCCTCACGTGGGATGGCTCGTATCCATTGCGCGTTTCTGGTGGGATCCGATGGGAACGTGAACACACGCACAGTCTCCTCGCCGTCATAGTTCCCGCGACACTCGGGAACACAACAGTGTCCAGGCATTTTCACGGTTCACTTGCGAGAAAGGCTCGTTCCGCAAAACAAAGATCGCACAGTCGGTCACCAACGGTCGGCCATGATCCCCGCTGATGATGATTACTTCGCTGCGAATAACCAGATCGGCTCGAAATAAGATTGATCAGATCGCGGAACGCAAGTCTTTGAAAAGTTCTACATCCTACAAATATTTTACAGTCATAAATAGATATATTTACGACCAATATAACTTTTTTTTTCAACCTGCAGCTTAATTATAACGCTTCTTATTTTCGTGAAATACGAAGCAACGGCTTGTTCTTCTCCGCGCGCACGTGACAGCTGCCAAACTGCCGCTCCAAGGTCGCGGAATCCGACCCCGCCGTCCTGCCTCCTCCGCGCGACGAACGAAAAAAACCGAGACGGCTCCGTCCGCTCCGTCGTAGTGTGCTGACGTCACGTACTGGGAGAGGAGGATATGCAGAGGCTTTGAAGTAGTCTAGGTGGTGTTGGCCTTTGTCGGGAGGTTGTGGTAAATGCCGTCTTTAAGCATTCAGACATGATTAGTGGCGACGGCGTGACTGTAGAACCAGACGAGAGTATGTTCGGTCGGCACAAGTACCATCGCGGGTATTTAAGGCCTGGCCAGTGGGTTTTCGGCGGTGTGGCGCGTTGCAGCGGGTGCTGCTTTCTTGTTCCCGTGGAGACCCGTGACGCTAAAACACTGCAAGGGCTAGTAGCCGAGTGGGTCCGCCCTGAAACAAGAATAATCACTGATTGTTGGGCTGGCTATCGCAAGCTTGCAGATGACGCTCGCGTCACGCACCTCACCGTCAACCATAAGCTTAACTTTGTCGACGCGAACACTGGTGCGCACACCAATACGGTGGATTGCACCTGGGCCCACGTCAAAAACTCTCTTCCATCTGGACGGCGCGAGAGCCACCATTTCACTGGTCACCTTGCAAAGTTCATGTTTTGGAGGAGAGACAAGGCGCGCGGAAACACTGATAGATTCCAGTCGTTCGTCGCCACGGCCGCCAAAATCTAGAGCCCCGACGCAGACAGGGCGAGGATTTTGAGGGCCCCGGTGACTTCGAGGGATCCGCTGCGCTGAGCCCGTCACCCGCCTGCATGCATAAAGACGACTTATGCGCCAACCGCTCGTCAAGTGCTCGTTACGTCAGTTATAGGTTCTGGCAGTGGTCTAAACGGTCCTTTTCAGGGCCCCCATATTTTGCAAACGGAGCTGTGTTTTTAATGCGGCACCCCGTGTCTCTGTAAAAAGTTCACAGGAAAGACCCAGCAAAGGTATGTGGTCCCCAACTTGGATATAGGGTGTTATGATTCAAATAAAAATTGTTCTTGCTTATTTCGCGCCTGTGATCAAAATAAATGCCGCCGTTGCAGTCGTCCCGCGGTGCTGTTGCTCGCCCATTCGCCGTCGGCGTGCCTCAGCTTCGTCGTCTTTGCTAGCGGCGCACCGGCGAAGCCGGCCTTTGATCCGAATAAATGCCGCCGTTGCAGTCGTCCCGCGGTGTTGTTGCTTGCTCGATCGCCGTCGGCGTGTCTCAGCTTCGTCGTCTTTGCTAGCGGCGCACCGGCGGAGGCGGTTGATCTGACACACCGCGTTCGGCTTTGGCTAGCAGACGGCGTTCGTAAAATGGCGTCAGCTGTTGCTAGCTTCACGCGGCGGTACCGTGCGTGCTTCTATTCATTCGGCGTTCGTTGCCATGGTGACGGCGAGGAAAGCAGACGAACTTTTTGATACGGAAGAACGCTGCGGCGCAGCGATACCAGGTGCGTTCTAAGGCCCTTCCCGCATGCTTTTCAATGGGCGGAAGGCGAACAAAAAGAGTTCGAAATAAGGACGTAACGCAGAAGGCTGCATTTCTCCAGCGCCTCATAATTTGACCAGCCTTGCACGAAAAGCATGTTTTTAGACCGGAGTTTGGAGATAGTTTTTTTTACAACAACATGGGTCTAAAGTATCAATGTGCCCAACCCACTACGTTGTGAGAACTTACCCCGAGTTACGACCACGCGCCACGCCACGCTTCGTATCAAGCCTGACAGCCTTGCACGCGACATACGAAACACGTATGCCTCGGCAACTCTCGGTCGTAAGTCGCCGTACCGTAATCAAGCACAGCTGAGTGAATTGGCCTTTACTCGCGGCTGTACCTTAGTGTAAAACTTCGCATAACATAGTAAAGCACTACGCTGTCCCCTACGAGTTCACATACGTGCACCAACACCACTCTTCATTAATACCCTTGCATTTCAATCAAAAGAATTTTATTTTTCTTTCACCAGAAAAGATGGTAGCTGGGGCAAAAAGCTGCAACACGTGCAGCTTGACAAGGCCACAGACAGCAGCGCTCGTACAGGGCTTTCTTCAAAAAGTCAAATCTAAAATGAAAATTTTCTTCAAGGTCAGAAAAAAAGAAATTACAAGATTCCAATGTAACACATAACATCAGTTGACACAGCACAGATACAACACGAGGTTCACAACGTCGACAGTATCATCATCAAAGCAACAAATGGTAAGCTATGGCTGAACTCTGTTTCAACATTCAGTTTGTTCAAGAAAGGTGGAAGTATGTATGTAATCGATGAAAGTCCATAGTTTGTACGGGGGGTAGGTACACTCCCCTCTTCATTTCGCCATGTGTTATAAACGCGAGTATGTTTATTTGAATTTGCTATTTGTAGAAAACAACTATGTTTATTTTTGTGTGCTGTTTTATAAGGTACTACAGAAGGCGGTAGTAATGCATGTGTGTTATTCTGACAGCATTGAAACGGGCAAAAAGAGCACCGGTATGGTAAAAATAGCACACATCTGCAATCACTCTTAAGCTTTATTTTTTGCAGTTTAGAAGTTTGTTTATACTTCGAATGGCAGTGGTACCCCATACCAGGTGACAATATTGAAAATATGACTCCACGAGGCCGTGAAAAATTAACTTGGCAAGTGAGGTGAAAACTGCACGGTATCGGGACGGCAAAGCGCACATAAAGAGCAGTCACAGTGAACGTGTGATGTTTTATTTCAAAATCATACACGAAGCATATGTACAAAAAGCGATACCAACTTACGCTATGTGACCTTTTATACAATATAACAACCCAATCAACATGGCACCTGAAGTAAGCCTTAGGAACATTACTAGGCCTCAAACCTTGCGATCATTTATAGAATCTGTCTTTCTTTTCAAATTCCACCCGTGGATATCGATGAACAGAAGTGAAGACCATGCGACTGCGAGTGTGGCGATTTTCTACGCTTCCATGTATGATCCACCTGGCGACGTCAGAACGATGTATCGCTGTGGATCGCCGTGATCCTGGCGGGGACACAGCTGAAAGTGCATACGGCAAACGCCTCCTGCAGCATCCCCGGCAGCCGGCGGGTCGACAAAAACTCTCGTAGCCATCTGTCGGGACGCCATGAACGCCCACCGACGGCTCACCATCTTGGCAGTCCTCTCAACGAGCCCCCACCCGGATCTCGGCAAACCTGAGCATTCCCGGCCGGCTTCTGCGAGCGCATTTCTTTGCCACTTTAGAGGTGCTCGAATGCATGGGCGGTGCAAGATAAACAGCCAGAGACGCTTTCCAGCCACCCTCACTTGGCTAATGCTGAAGCGCAGCTTGTAGCTGAAGCCAAAACATGTCTCGAATTTTCTGGTTTGCGCCTTCGTCGGGGACTGCAATATAAGTCCGGGATTTGACCAGGAAGTTTAAGACCGGACTCATTTCATCCTCTGGAATTTGCCCCTTCTTGAGAAACACGATGTGGTTCTCCCGTTCGGCCTCAAACAGGCGGTGCTGCGCCAGGCTCACCTCGAACATGCACCAGCGGCTCTGGCAGAACTCGCGACTCAAGAGGAACACCGACTTGCGGCTGTGGGCGATGCTGTTGCAGATGTTCTCGGTGATGGGCACACCGGCGATGAAGTCCCGTTCGGCAACGCAGATAGACAACCCCGTGGAGGATGTTTCCAGCCCTGGCAGCAGGACGTTCCTCACCCACTCTGCCTCGGACGAATGGTAAGAGAGGAACGCATCCCACAGGTAGTGGGCGTCGTGCCGGATCCTTTTGTAGCCCCGCATTTTCACCGTGAGGTAGAGCAGGAGGTACCTAACGTACCATCGGTTCGCGTAAACGGCGTGCGACACTACCGAGAGGACAAGCGCACAGAGGACGAGCGGCAGACCGACGAGGACATAGTAGTCGGGCGGTTTGCACTGGTCGGCGTTCCAGGGTGCAAGCGACACGGAGACGTTTGCTAGTGCTTCAGGATGTTCGCATACCGCGCAGTCGTTACAGCAGTGCCTTCGGCTTTGAGCAAGGAAGTCTTGCAGATGTTTCAGGTAGCAGCTGCTGCAGTCCCATGGATTCTTGCAAACGCTGACTTCTTGGATTCCCGACAAATCGTTAAACATCACGTCGTCGAGCTTGAACATAATGTTTCTGTCCAACTCCAAATGCCTTAAATTACTCATGGTGGAGAAAACGGGACGCGTCCAGTTTGAAATGTGGTTTTTTGATAGCGTCAATGACCGAACTGTCAGATTTCGGAATGTTTCGGGCAGTATATTTCTAACGTTGTTTTGGTTCAAACCAAGGGCTTCGAGGCCGGTCAAGGGTAGAAACGGGCGATTACCCGGGAAGATGTTGATCCTGTTTATGCTAAGGTTTAGAGTCCTTAAATTTTCCAAGCCGCCAAAAACATGGTCGGAAAGCGACGTGATGCGATTGAATTGCAAATTTAACACCTTCAGATGCCTGAGACCCACAAAAGGGGTTTCATTGAGATGAACCAATTTGCAACCACTCAAGTCGAGGGTCTGGAGATTTGGGAAATCACAAAATGCTCGATTGGGAAGCGAACCGAGCACCGTAAGTCCAAGGTCCAAGTGCTCCAGCGAACTTTGTTGTTTGCACGATTGTTGGAAAAGTTTGAACGGGCGCTTGGAAGAGGAGACGGTCTTCAGCAATACTAATGTTTTGATATGTTTAAACTCATAAATCGCGGGCGGAATTTGGCGTAACCTGGACCTCACGAACGAAACTCTGACCAGATCCGGGAGCATGTCAAACGCAAACGGGTCTATAGTGCCAATGGGTACCTCGTAAAAATCGAGCTCCTTAAGGTAGCGCATGTGAGGCAGTTCATTGAACCCAATAGACTTGAAGTTGCACTGATGGAATACGATGCGCCTAATCTTGGCGAAGCTAATGGCTTCCAGTAAGACCGAAGGAATCGATTCTACTGTTTCGATGAATGTTACGTTGAGTTGCTCGACATGGGTGTAGGACAGCTTCCACGTTCTCATTATCTCGACGATCACGGTCAGTCCGTAGTTTTCGTTGAGCTCCAGGTCGTTCAGGATCTTGTTATAATAGACCATGTCGTTGAACCCGAACACTTCGCAATTGCACTGGCCTTCCTCTCCGACGCTGGTGCAGTTGACGGCCCCCATCTGGACGGGTTGCTGGAATACTATTTCGGTCTCCAGGGACCTGAGGTACATGAGAAACTCGTGTATTTCGAAAGGACCGTGTTCGTCGTAGAACTTGTACATGGAAGGCGGAAAATCACGCCACTTGATAAAGCGGACTCGGTGCAGCGAGATGCAAGCCAGTTCGTCGCCCGATCGCGTGCCGATCAATGGCTCGTCGGTGACGAAAAGCTCGTCCATGGTCAGGATCTGGGGTTCCGCCGGGATAAACCACTTCGGAGGCGACGTCTGCAGGAGTACCTTGCACAGGAAGGTCACGTGGCCGTCCGGGGTCACTGTGTGGTTGCATTTGCGGCTCGGAATAAGCTCCGTGGTTATGTTGTCTTTTCGGCACGGTAGGGAAACATTCTGCGACGTTGCCGAGGCCGTCAATAGGGCTAGGGTGATGCACCGTGACATGACCAGGATGAACTGTAAAGATCCGTAAGATTGTATGTACTCTATGTCTCTGACCATTGTGAGTGACACCGCAAGATGTAATGCATGCTGTCTCTTTAAGCAGAAACTGCTAAAGCAGTCGATGCTACATGAGCCAAATCCTGTAAAAACCCTTAAAGCGACAATAATTGTTTTTAAGCACAAAGATGGTTCTTGTTCGGTATAAGGCTGCACTAGCTATTTATTATTCTTGTTTTTAGCCTGTATAACAACATTTTTTTAAGTTTGTCTACCACTATCTCCCCCCCCCCCCCTTCCACCCCCCTGTAATATCTCGGCCTTCAGAATATAATAAATAATTAACACAAATGAAATAACGTTTTGGAAGCCTCGGTGTGGCAGCCCCATTACGCTAAGAAACAGCTTTTCGAGGGCTACTCTCAACCATAGGTCTTGATGAGGTTTCTTTAATGCTATAGTAAAGGTATTTAAACTCCTACAGGGACTCCCCCTCGTTAATTAAATTGATGCGGGATGCAAAAAATCATACAATTAACACTTAAATTCAAAATGGTGTAACACTACAATCCTCTAATGATGGCAACTTGTCCACCTTGACGACAGATGGCTTCATGCAAAACAAGTTGTGCCTCATTTTTGTTCTGCAGCAACAGACTGTCTGCTGGTTGGGCAAGGTGAAGGGTGAAGAAAATGTGGGAAAGGAGGAAGCCAACAAAACCCCAACTGTTGGACGCCTTCTAAGTTTTAATGGTAGCCATGCATTTTTTAAGCTTAACAGATTGGTCTTAAGAAATAGCACATGAAAGCTACATTTGTGCGGTTTGTGCAGGTAGGTTATACGGCTAGGGAGTTATACTATAGAAGGTTAATCGTAACGATCGGTCGGCTGATTAGGTAAACTTTGTTACTTAACTTTTTAATGAGTGAAAATAGACATGTGGTTCCAATTAGAAATTTGTTCAGCGTCGTCAAAAACCCCTAAATCAGTAATTTTTAGAAAGGTTTCGAGCGCATGTGAAGCGCAGTAGTGCGCTAAAGTTATCACTGGTGCAGCAGGAGCAAGGCTGCGGGTGCGATAACGTGCCCGCGCGATTTTTCCCTCTCTTATCATAGCCCCAGCCTTGCACCTGCTGCACGAGTGGTAACTTTAGCGCACTACTGCGCTTCACATGCGCTCGAAGTATTTTTAAAATTACTAATTTAGTGTTTTCGGTGCCACTCAGCAAATTTATAATTGGAACCACATTTCTAGTTTTACAAATTTAAATTCATTTAAAAGATATTAGTCCACTAGACTACTGATCGTTACGATTAGTCCCCTATACTCTGTCCTCCTGGCCGTGCAACCCACTTGCACGAACCGCACAACTGTGGCTTTTACAATTTTTTTAAACAAATCTGTTCAGCTTAAAAAAAAAAAAAAAAAAAAAAAAAAAAGACTCGTACACTGGGTGCTTCAACAAAGAATTTTAAACATCTGAACCGATAGGTTGGTTGAAAAAAATAAACTCTTTCGGGAACAAACTACCAGCCAAGGCGGACGTCGCGAGAATAAACACACACACACGCACACGCTAATTCGTTAAAATATTAACTAAAATTTACTAATTAACAGTTTAGTTATAGAAAATCGACATAAGGTTCCAAGTAGAAACTCGCTATGCGTCATCGAAAACCTCCATGCGGAGTGCAAGTTGGTCTGCTTCCTGCACAGGAGTTGCGATGAAGTCAGAAACAAGAAAGTAGTGGGTAGACCTCAAGGCATTTTGCATCGAGGTTTAGCCCCTCGCCTTTTAATCGGAGCCAATCAGAGCTCGGCGTCGTTATGACGTCACCGCCGCTCCTGCGCAAGAAGCAGACGACTAGCTGCCCCCATCGTAACTTTTAGGAAGACTTAAAGGGACACCCCAAAGCTCGTATTCTTTGTTGTCTAAAACGATGCAAATTGTTGTCATAGGCCTTCCCAACAAAATGTCACAACAAAAAAACAAAAAAAATTACCAGCGCGCGCTTGTTGTTAAAATTGGCGCCTTTCTCTCTCTTCTCGCCTCCTCGCTCCTTTGATTTGTTACGTCAAAAATTATAGAATTCATAAGCTTCGCAGGCGACATTTCTATAATAATTAATAACGGCATTCGTAAAACAAGTTTTAACGCAGCTGCGAGCGCACTACGGCCCTTCTTTTTGTGATACCGAAAATCCGAGTCCGTAGCGATGTCGCCTCCTGGCTTTTTATCCTCCCTCGGAAAACATGGCGGCGCTCGGCACAGCTAGCAGGGAGGATGATCGGTAAGACGGGGAATCGGAAGAACTCTTTCTTAGGTGCCCGACGACCTCTCGGACTTTAAAAGAAAATCGTCAAATGGTCAAAAATACTGGGTTTGGTGTCTGTGTACCCTAGTTTCGGTGGTGACTCCGCCGGGGGCGGCCCTCTCACGCAGAACCGGCGCGACGGGGCCCCTCGTGTCCATTACAAAAGTCCATTGCGCGTTATTTTCGACCTCGCACCGTTTCGAAGAATTCGAGATATCCGAAAGGGCCCTAAAAGAACTTCATACTCGAAAGGGAATCGTCGTCTGCTCACAGCGATAGGCGGCAGGGTTGGAGAAAAGCGTTTGAACGCGAGACGTGGCCGAACACGACATTTCGCGTCGGGATGGTTCTTAGGTGCGAGAGAAACTCAAGTTGCAGCACGACTCAATATATGACGTCACTGCACTGGCGCGGATCGCGCGGGAACTTCAAATTCGGCTCGGGGAAATTGTTTTACTTTTTTCAACTATACCGAGTTCCCAAGTTTCGGACTTTGACGGTAATGTCCAGGCAACGTTTTCAATCGTTTCGAGTAATTAAAAAAAATGAATTTTATCTGTCAGTGCCCCTTTAAGGCACGTCTGAAACGTGGGGGAACGCGAAAGTTATCTCTCGTGCAGCAGGCAAAAGGCTGGAGATGCAAAAACACTGACGGCTCTAGGGGTTCTCAATAACACTCAGCAGGTTTCCGATTGAAACAGTATGTTTATTTTCACTAAATAAAATTGTAATGAGTAATATTTAGATAAAGTCAAGTGGCCACGTTGTGTATGTTTTACTTTCGTTGACGAACTATTTAACGCAATGAACGTTTAGGGCTCTTGTTTGTTGACAAAGCATCATTTTGTCATGCATTGGGTAATATACTTTGAAGTTGGGAGTTGCTTTTTCCTCGGAAAGTATGAGAAAAACAAATACGTTAAGTAAAATATACAAGTACATACTCAGAGTATGTACTTTAAGTAAAGTACAAGTTTCCTAAGTGACACTGGGAAGAACGCACTGTCGTACTTGGACGGATTGCCGAAGAAACCGTTTCACCCACGTGTCCGGACACGCATCACACCAACACGGATGGGTTTGTACATCAAGGCACTCGCAGCTCAGCAGCAGCCTCCACGATTGAAGCAGAGGGCCTAGGCTGAAACTTCCAGATACAAAAGCAAGTCGATTCGAACACCGCTCAGCCCGTACAGAGCTCTATGCTCTTCATTTCGGCCCATGCGCCTCAAAGCTGCTCATCGTCCCTAACCATAGAACGGCGCTGTTGCGATTTTATGTGCCACGATCTTACGAAAAGCCTGTCGTCTACTGGAGGATACTTTAAGGGACTTTTTGCGCCTAGGATTTTAGGTAAAATTTCAGCGGGACTCGGGGGATTATCTGGCAACACCGAGGTGGATTGAATGACTCCATTCGCACACACAGTCGACCACGTTCAGTCCCAAGTACTATATTAACTTCGAGGTACCGCACTGAGCAATCAGATGGCCTGTACGCGAGCTCGCACCGGCCACTTTTACGGTGCACCAGTCATGTCTGTCCAAGTGCCTGGACCAAAAGAAAAAGTAAGAAAGGGTGCTACGCTCCTGACAGGAGCGTCAAACAAGGAAGAAACACGCCTCGGACGATGTCTCCAGGCTGTATGGTGCATTAGCAGTAGGGCCGCGTCTTTAGAGGGGCAGCTGGCTGCACGGATTGTCATAACTTTCAGGACGACGCAGAATGCCAGGTGACTTAAACCAGATCCAGGTTTTTGGTGTTGTTTTTGTCCATCTGTTGGAAATGTGCGTGTATTGTTAGATTAGTCTTCGTATATCGGATGAGACTCGTGTAGCTTTACAGGCTGGAATGATCAACCGACTTAGCGGAGTGACTCTGAACCACGCTTATGACGATATGACAGTTCGAAATTTCAGTATCTCGCGATAATTCTACATTCTGTCCCTGCAGCCCTCCAATATTCCCGCGGATTGATTCCATAACATGCCGGGATGAGGGAGAAGGTTATGATATGACGCGTAACTATACTGCTGACTTCGGAAAAATAAAGAAAAAAATATTCCCTTGTTTGTGATACTTAAACTTTCTTTTGGATCGCATCGTTGTATTGGACAGCGCCCAAAATGCGTTGAAAGTATTCTTTCCCGGAATATTTCCTTTTCCTGATTCTAATTGCACCTTTCTGTTTAATAGGTAGAATTTCCATATTTGGCTGACTCTCATACTTTTCTTTCATATTTTGTTGCTAGTTTTTGTTACAGTAATTTTATTACCTTCATTACTGCCGATACGGCAGTAATGAAGGTAATGAAATTACTGTAACAAAAATTATAATATGTTGGTTATTTTTTGACAACGCCAGAAAGATTAACCTTTCTAATACAAGACCGCAGCTATTTCACGCTATGCACATACTTGTTATAGAGAATGAATAGCTGTGCCATGTTTATGCAGGAGGTAATGAATACCAAATTTTCCGGGCTATAGTCCGCGTACTACGTATGCTCAAATACTTAAATTTAGGCTGGACGGGCTATCCACGCGTGCGGACTATACAGTAATTTTGTTTCTCAAGATCGCTCATTATGACGAACCATAAAATAATTTTTAATGAAATAGTATGTTAATGATGATTTATGGATAATACAAGCTTCTTTGTAAGCTAAGAAAACAGATATTTGTTTAGTCGACTCGAAAACCTATGAGAAGGTTTTCGTGTCGACTAAGCACCAGGTGCGGAC